TTAAATAAATTAATGTACTTAAAATAGTTTTCCACGTTTTATAGTTTTTAATAAATTAATCATCGGTGAATTTTCCTTTCGATGAATTGCGGGTCAGTGAATTTTCCAGTCGGTGAACTTTAGTAGACCCATTTTTCTGTAAGTATATGAATTACACCGATATTTTCAATAGGTTCGAATTATCCAGCTTTTACTGTACTACTTTAGCATAGTGTTCATAATTAATTTGTGCTAGAAATAGAAACCCGTTGTGCAAGTTTCACTTATAAAGTATATTTCTAACCGTCTATTTGTATGTCTGCTTTCATTACGAAGCCGTCCATGTGTTTTGGGACTGCATTATATCTTTTGTCTTTTCGTTAAACGTTCTTTTTTCAGTCACAGTTGCCTACCGCCGAAAGTCTGGCAGCACTTCCGCTTCATGCGCAGCAAAGCGCCGAGGAATTTGGCACGAATAGCCTGTTTCGAAAGTCGGCTTCTGGTCAGCGTGAAAAGCAATGCCCTAAATCTGATGAAAACCAGTTGAACACCGAAGACCGTACGTCCGCTGACTTTGGAAAAAGCACGACCTCGAACCGTGATAGTAAGCTGGCGTATTTTGTCTTTATCGTGAGCCAGCTATTCCATTAATCCATTAATTATTATCAGCTTATTGTAAAACTTAGTTTTAATCAACGAAAAGCACTATTTTCGGATACACCAGGATTTATGCAACGAAGCAGTGCTCAAAACTTCATGTTAGAATAAATTATCGTTCATTATTTCTGTGCCTCCGTGTCTCTACGAGTCCGCTTCTCTTGCGGCTGTTCTCATTACGTGATTTAAGCTGTAAAGCTCTCTGTGCTGTTACGATATCACGCCATGATAGATTATTTATAGCAAAAAGGTGTCGGTGCCGAGTTCTGTGATGGAGTTAACATCTTATTGAGTGTGTGTATGCATGCGTACGTATATTAAGATAACCTCATTCAGCAGTTTGCATAAGCAAAACGTGAAAGTGTTCTCCTCCTAAAGCGGATCTGCCTGTACATTGTTCATCCTCGTTGTATGCTGGCCTCCTTGTCGACGTCTGCCACGTTTTGGCTTCCGTACATGAAGCTCAAGCACTAGAGTGAATAGCTTACGCCAGTTTGTCTAACTGGTCTCCAAACTCTTTTTTAAACCTGTACATCTACTCAGGTAGTCGTTCCCGGAAGAGAATACAGTCATTACTTACATGGTTATGCCGTTCTCACGTTGTACAACCATCACGTTAATACGAACAGATAGAGAAGTTTCTCGCACATTGATATAGCCATCGCATTGTTCTTCTGAGTGGTTCATCAAATGACATAATTAGTCACCGAAATGGAGTGCATTGCAGCTGCATTAAAAGAGTTACAGATGGCTTACAAGGGCATAGTTTATGATAACCCCTGCCGTGAACTGAACATAATAGTATATTACATTGCACTGCGCGTAGGAGTCGATATTCTGAAGTAGTTTAAAGAATTTTCGGTTTGAGGCAGCGGTTATAAACTGGTAAGAGTTGAATGCTGGAAGAACTATAAGAATTGAAACGGTGGTTATGGCCTTTAAGACAGCTGTTTTCCCTTCAGTTCTCAAGTTTTCATCGAATTACTCAATGCCATGTTTAACACTTTTTTCCATCACGTCTGCAAACGTATGTTTCGAAGATGTGTTAGTAAAACATGCACACAAGTGCGCCGAAGTTTACTGACCCTCAAAACTTCCTACTTCCAACGCTTGACCTTATTTGATGAAAACTTTTTCAAAGCCATTCTCGTATGAGATTTGTTCACTGATTGCAAACTGCGGAATGACTGACAAATCAAGAAACGACTCGTGAAGGCTGAAATGCTTGCGGTGAGGAATATGATCCCTGTGTGTATGTATCTCTTTAGTCTTTAATGTCTATCGTAATTGCGATCTAACGTTTTAACCAGCAGATTGCGTTAAGCATCTTTGATTCGGGCAGCTGTACTGTTAAAGTTGCATGTAGTCAATCAATCAGCCAAGTTTAGATTTGTTGCTTGAGCGTCTTTGATTGCTGTCGACGTGAAGAGATCTCATCAGAAGTTGTGAACAGGAAATGTCCACATTACAGAAGGCAGTAAGAAAAATCAGTAACAAAAAGAATACATCTATATGCTTGGTGTTATCGGGACAGGTTGTTTAAGATAACTATCTAGCGTTTTCCCCGCTTCTGAAGGAACCCTGATATCAGACGATGAAACTGACTCGGGTAGCAGCCCTGATACAATATTCTTAAACGCAGCTAGAGTTTGTTTGTGTCAAAACTGTCATAGACAATGACTCACAAGTGATTACCCTCCACGTCATCGGGAATATGGCAGGGCTGCACCTTACTGCTGCGTCTAGATACTTAGGAAACATTCAAGCTTATCAAGGATGCACAACATTGTCAGTGTTCGCTCGAAGAACGTCCATGTTCATGGCACCAACTAAGGGTTTGGTGGTTCGAAAAGCATACATGTTTGTGGTACCAGCGGTAAAGCTTGCATGGCCCCTCATCATAAGGCGTGATGAGTTTGGTTCGAAACTGGAGTCGCTATATTAGTTTCAAACGAAAGTAAAATATGAATTCAACGTCATACAATCGGACATAAATCATAAAGAATATGTTCGATCATTTAATTATTTTTTGTACTTAATTTTACTTATGACGTTTTATCATTTTTTGTTTTCTCTGGGTTATCATTTTAGGTGAACCAGTGCCGGCAGAGCCATTTAACGCGAAATCGAACAATCTCGACAGGCATTGTTATAGGTTCGGAGTCGATTGGCACTGCAACCTTTCACGAGAGGTGAGAAAGCGTTTGACTCATGCCTTTGTGTCGCAGAGTACTTAGTTGCTCATGCAGGAACTGATCGAAATAGTGGAGGAGCAAAAGGTACTGTTGAGCCGGCAGCACAATCGCGTCCGTGAACTCGAGGAGTATATCGATCGGCTGGTGTTCAAAGTGATGGCCTCTCATCCGGAACTGCTGCAAATTCCTGACAACAACTTCCGCAGCGGTGTTCGGTAACACCAGTTCGCGTCTCTTCTCTTCGCAGCATTTTATCATTCTCAAATATTGTCTGTTGGTCGGTTCTCCGCGAATGTTCTGCAGATTTTCTATTTTACCTGACGTAAAGACTTCCATGAAATTATTATTTAGTGTTATTAATTCATTATTTTTTATTCTAAAACTTATGCACTTTTTTTGCGATCTGATATCCTTCCAAGAACGTTTGTATTTTGCGTTCATTAGAGATAAAGTATCATGCCTTAATTTCATCCATCGTTGCGCTTCAGGATTTGTAATACTGATGTTTGTTCTAAACATTTTGTT